CAAAATGTCTACGACTGGCCCTAATCCCAAAATATCTAGAATTGGCCCTAACCCTAACCCAACTAAGTCCCACGAGAGAGTGCAGCCTATGTCCTACGACTGCGTGCAGCTTAGGGCACCCCTGAAAACCTACCACCTCTTGAAATATTAGACTGTCCCGTGACCTGTGGATTTCCGATATTTGGGGTAGGATAATAAGAAAGCACCTTTTTTTAAATATTACTCGTTGCGGCCTAAAACGTTTTCACGACGCGACTCTCGTTCCACTGCTCGACAGCCATAAGAATGCATTTTTTAAATGTGGAAAACGAACCATCATAAAATAGGTAAATTCAGTCACTAATGACAAAAGCTCAAGGCAAGCGAGCAAAGCGTAGATAGCGATGAAAGCTGAAAAATAAAATCAGGAAATAAATAAAAGCTACCTCGGAAAGTTTAAAAATTAGAAAGACAGAACGTATCTGATGTCCATCGCATTAGTATTAGCCCTTATTGTGGAGATGGCACCACATCGAGTAGTAATTCAAGTTTCTTTCGTTATCAGTTTCGTAAATTTTACTTTGCCTCCTTGTATATAAAAAAAAAGTATGTTGCAACTTGCAAAGGAACGGAACAAATTAAAACAAGCACCCTGGCTCTGTCGATCTACAAAAAGCTTTGCACCAGTGTGGCGGCAGCGTTGAGGAAAGAATTACCTTTTTCTAGAAAACAACAGGTCTTTCCTCTACACAAACTTGCCACACTCAATTGTCATCTTATCAGAGACCGCCAAATTATATTGCAAGTGAGCTTTTTTTTGTAACTGCACACTTTCCATCGGAGATTCTCTGCACTAGAGAAGAGACATTAATCCACTTCTTTGTTGTCAATGTGACCGGTTCCGGTTATGTTAGTTTAAATATTGAACACTCACTGACTCACTGCAGTTAATAGATCAGATAGAATTCGAAAACTGCCTAGCTTAAAAATAGGTGATAAACAACACCCGATCTTCTTCTTTTTCTTCTTCTTCTTCTTCTTCTTCTTCTTCTTCTTCTTCTTCTTCTTCTTCTTCTTCTTCTTCTTCTTCTACTACTACTACTACTACTACTACTACTACTACTACTACTACTACTACTACTACTACTACTACTACTGCTACTACTATTACCACTACTACTACTTCTATTACTACTACCACTACTACTACTTCTACTACTACTACTTTTACTATTACTAGTACTACTAAAAAACTCACCACCACCAAAACCATGAAATAGGAACTTCTTCTCTTGCCTCATTTTTCCTTTTTTTTTTAATTTAATGAGAACCAAACTTTTTTTTTTTTGCTTTTGCATCTTCACCTTGGTTCTTCTACTGCTGCTGCTTTTGGTTTACCTCCATTTTTTCATCTGTGATATCTGCGCCTTCGCTCGGCCTTATGGTTTACATCCAGGCGACGGGTAGGTAATCATGAAGTTTATTGGTTCATCCAGTGCAGAATACAATACGGCTCTCCTTGCACCTTTGGACGCAAGCTGGACGGCTTAGGTCGGCTTAGTGGGAGTTCTCTCCCTTGGCCGCATTGAAAACAAGTAGCGCTTTCACGAATCAAACAAGACAGTGAGTCGACATCAGGGCTGTCAATGCTTGGTTTGTTAGATCTGGGTTTTTCTTTTCATGCTGCGGGGAAATCTGGGGGGGGGGGGGGGGGGCGAGTTTTTGCCATCTGTGTGCTTTAATGACAGATAACTTTGCGTGGTTAGGGTTAGCGGTAGGGTTAGGATTAGGGTGACGATTAGGGGTAGCGTTAGGGGTAGGGTTACGGTTAGGGTAAGGTTTAGCGTTAGATGTGACAATTTTGACGCCGTAGTTCCCTATAATCGCGCACAGTCACATCACAGCAAAATGGCACGGACGTGGATGCTACTGACACGGACAATTCGCCACCGATTAGGCACTAGCCGCTCAATATTGCCGTCATATTTGGCACACTTCCAGTGGCGCCACTCCCACAAGCATCAGAGTGTCGCCCAGTATTTGGAAGTTTTACATCACCATTGTCACATCTAACCCTAACCCCTAACCGTAACCCTAACCCCTAACCCTACCCCTAACCCTACCCCCAACCCACACCCTACTCAACCCTACACGCAACTGTATGATGTTGACACCCTACGCAGCCCTACACGCAACCGTATGATGATAGGTAACCTAGACGCAACCGTATGATCTACGCAACCCTACACGCAACTGTACGCAACCCTACACTTCACCCAGATGATGATAGGTAAGTATCTCATTTGATTCGTGACTTTTCCGCTCGTTTTGTCATGCGGCTTCAGGGAGAGAACTCCCACTAAGCCGTCCAGCTTGCGTCCAAAGGTGCAAGGAGAGCCCAGAATACTAGATTGGCCTGTTTGGACCCATTTACTTCTAACCCTTTCAAAGTAAAGTTTAAGAAGAAATATGTTGACCATTGTTCAGGTTTTTTCTTCTTCAGCATTCTTATGATTGTATACTGCAGTATTGTTTTCATTTATTCCTATCTACACCCCTTTCCCCAGTGAACAAGGGAACAAAATATTAGGGCTATGGGTGAGATACTGTAATGCTTAAATTCTTCTTAAATAGTAATACAGCTATCCCAAACATGCATCAGCAGATAGCATAAATGCATTCTATAATACGTCTGGCAGGGGAAAAAAAATTTAGATGATATTCCTGAGAAGAGCACTCAGTGTATCTTAAAGAGAGATCAGAAATAGTGACATCCAACAAAGAGAGCCGCTAGCCATGCAAGTGATGGACAGTGGTAGCCTCTATATAGAAAGTGCACAGATGGCCACTTAGTAAAGTTGTTCACTTACCTGGCTCATTGGAACCAAACACAAATGGGCATATAGCAAAATCTTGAACTTGGCTTGTAAGAGCCAAAAACAAAAAGGCACAATAAAATCATGACCTACCTGGCTTGTTGGAGCAGAAACCAATGAGCGATTAGTGAAATCATTGGCCTACCTGGCTAATTGGAGCTAGGAAGAAATGGGCAGTCTGTGTGTACCTGGACAATGATCTGACATCAAATCTCCAATGGTATGGTGAAACTCATATTGACTCAAGAATTTTCTGAGGTTTGTGTGTGATTTAAAAGAAAGAAAAAAAATTGGCAGAAAGGAAGAGAATAGTGCACTTCGCTTCTGTGTACTGTTGAGCTAGAATATGGGATGGTTTACATTTCACACCCATATGGTAGTGTCTGCCTGGCCTCATCATCATGTGCTGATAAGCTAAGGCAGTATTGATTGATTGTCCACCTCATTTGACCACTAGATTAAAGTATCAGGTCAGTGTTCTGGTAATGTTCGTGTCATCCATGGATTTATTTAAATGACATCCCATTGCTCTTGTAACATTCTGGCTGATAAACATTTCTCTGTTCTGCAGGAGTTGTTGAAGTCTCAGCCATATTGCAGCTCTACAATGCCACGGAAAGTGGTAAGTCTTCTTCTTCTTCTTAGGATTCACCGGATGTAAATTCAGGCGGAAAGTTCTGCTTGGTTGTCCACTTCTGGATATTAGTCGTTAACCTTTCTTTGTGGCTTCTGGACCCCATTGGGAAAAGGGGGGGGGGGGGGGGGTGACTACCAGTTGCATCTATCAAGCATGCAAGCATGTCATAAGAATCAGTTAATTAAGGGTTTCCTTAAAAGTCAGAGTACATTTGCCTGAAAGACAAGGAATCAACAGTCTGCATACACATAAGACAAATCTGTAAAATGGATGTGTGTGCAAAACTAAATTTCTGGAACAAGACTAAATTCCAGGAATGGATGACTAACCAGAACTTTCTGATGAAGAAAAAAAGTCTTGTTCAAAAACTTAAATTTTGCTTGCATATCATTTTATGTATCTAGCTTATTTATATACAGACTGTTGGTTTCTTGCCTCTCAGACTGATGCACTACTGCCTAGAAGGAAACACCCTTAATTAGTTGACTTTTAGGACATGCTTGGTTTGAGGCAGTGGATCTGTTAACACCCCCCTCAACCTAAAATGGGGCCCCAGAACCCATAAAAGGAAAAAGGGTTAGTTATAGTGCCATTTCAGGTGGATCTGGTTTTGTGGCATTTTGAAGATTGGTTCGTTGGTGTTGATACAGCCGTTGTTGCTACTTTCAGGAGAGTTCTGATTTATTTAATCAACATCCTGTGGCATGGTGATAAGTGGATGCCATGGCTGACCACCTCACGTTATCAGAGGGCTCAAGCTTTCTTCTCTTATCCTCTTGCTCTTGCTAGGCATTTATTTAGTTTTTTGTCTCCGCTTACTATGTTCCCTATCAAATGTTCCAATTGTCACAAAGTTTCTCAGTCACTAAGTGTTCAGTTTATTTCTTTTCATTATATGCCTCAAAAATGCTCCTGTCTGTGTCTAGTTTCTTTAGTCACTTTATGGGGTTTCATATATTTTATGGACTGCCTAATCTGTTTTCCTGACCATTTACTGTATTCTTTCCATTCACCCCCCATTTTTAATGGCCATGTGATATTTCTGACTGTCTGCTTATTGCCCATGTTTCACATGCCCCCCCCCCCCCCCCCCCCCAAAAAAAAAACCAGTACAGGTTGTAGAAATCACTTTAACTCTCTTTTTCCCAATGCATAGGTAACTTTTTGATTGATGTTCTTTCAGTCTTGCCAAATAATACATCATCTTCGCCAAAACACCTGCCTTTTATTCACCAACAGGTGGCTGGCTTGATTTTAACCATTTCACCCATTAATTATTGCCTGTGCAGAATAGGGGGAATTAAGTGGTAATTATAGTCACTGATGTGGAGCTTTGGTAGAGAACTAAACAGAATATAATATAAGAATCATGTTGTGAAGAAAAGACACTGGCATTGGGTAGGACACCTATTGAGAAAACATGAGAGCATTTATATATATATATATATATATATATATATATATATATGGTATTACTTTAACTGTCTTTTCTGTAACCTTTTTACCAGGTTAAAGCGGACACTGCTGCAGAGAAAGAAAAGCAGCAGAAGGAAAGTGTCAATGGAGAAGAAGACAAAAAGGTACTCATTCATTCATTCAGTAGCATGTCCCTCGCGGAACCTCGCTGCCATAACAACCCTCCGGAAAACCTTCCTATCATGAGCAAGATGTCCTCCGTCTGATACACCCATCTGGAGATCACCTGCCACATCCTGCACCCATCTTCTCCTTGGCCTTCCTCTTCCTCTCTTCCCAGGCATATACCCCATCATTATTGTTCTCTCTAGACTTCCATGACGTTTCAAGTGACCAAAATATTTCAATTTTCTTTGTTTTATTGAAAAAAGGTACTACTGGATGTAAATTCACTTTTCATGATTCTCTAATTGTAACTCCTCTGTAGCTGAGGACCTCAACTTTGTTGTGAGTTTAAAGGCGGAAAGAGGAGTAGCCAGTTATAATCTCACTTTTTGATTTCCAAATGTTGGCGACTTTTAAACAAATGTGTGCAGCATGCATCAGGTCCTCTAGGCTGAATATCTAGTCTGAGGTCTAAACATCTGGCCTGCTACCTTAGGATTGTGAAAGGTGAGTATACCATCTTCATCTGATTGCATAACTAATATAACTAAGCATAGTTCTCATCAGGAATTGAACCAGAACTGCATGTCCTGGGGCAGTGTCCTAAATCAGAAGTTACCTCTTACCCATATCCTAGTATGTTATCATCCTTCATGATTTAGTGTAAACAGAGCTTCTACAGAAGTGTACCTTTTTTTGCAGGTTCCTGCTAAGCGATCGGGTAGAAATCAGAAACGGAAGCCAGAAGATAATGATGGAGAGGACTCGGGAGAACCTAAGCCTAAAATAAAAGCTAGAGCTTCCATTGTAGACAGCTTGGCTGGCATAGACTTTTCAGCCCTGGCTAAAACAAAGGATGGAAAGGTGGCCAATTTCAAAATTGCTTCTTGGAATGTAAACGGGCTGAGAGCCTGGCTTGAAGTAAGAAGAAATGTTTTTGTGCTTGCTTCAGTCTGTGACCAGTGTCCTGTCATCAGTTGTCCGTCTTCTTGCTTCCATATGTTATCTATCCTGCTATCTTGTGTCTGTTTTCGTGCTTCCATCTGTCATCTGTCCTGTCATTATGTATGTGTCTTCTAGCTTCCATCTGCCTTCATCTGCCATTTGTGTCTGTCTGTATTTCTACCATCCTGCCATGTGTGTCTGTCTTCTTGCTTCCATTATCTATCTTCTTGCTTCCATCTGTTATCTGTCCTGCCATCTTGTGTCTGTCTTCTTGCTTCCATTATCTATCTTCTTTCTTCCATCTGTTATCTGTCCTACCATCTTGTGTTTGTCTTCTTGCTTCCATCTGTTATCTGTCTTCTTGCTTCCATCTGTTATCTGTCCTACCATCTTTTGTTTGTCTTTTTGCTTCCATCTGTTATCTGTCCTGCCATCTGTGTGTTTGTCTTCTTACTTCCATCTGTTATCTGTCCTGCCATCGTGTGTCTGTCTTCTTGCTTCCATATGTTATCTCTCCTGCCATCTTGTGTCTTGTCTTTTGCTTCCATCTATTATCTGTCCTGCCATCTTGTGTCTGTCTGTCTTGCTTCGATCTGTGTCCTGCCATCTTGAGCCTCTGTTGTCTTGCCATATTATCCTGCTTTCATACTCTGGTGTTTTCTTACACCTTTTCCTTGTTTTACCCGATGTTAAATTGTACTGCCTTACTTTAACCAAAAAAAAATTATTAAGAATCAAGTGGCAGTGTACTGTTTCATCAAGCTTGTGGCTTAGTGCATTTGATTTCAGAAAGCATGTTTTGTGTGTGTGTCTTTCAACTCTGTCAATAATCTCGAGTACCTATAAAGCAGCAGGATTGTATTTCTTTCTGTTCATTTAGTCCCTACTCTTTGATCTGTTCACAATGAGAGACCCTATATGTATCTACACTACCAGTGTTGTAGCTTTTGTGTTCATTGGAATGTACCAAGCACTCCTGCTTCTTTGAGGTGGAGATACATTAGAGGGCTTTTATTCATTTTTCTCTTGTGCGTTTCTGTCAAACTTGCACTTGTTGTCTTTTGTTCTGAATAAAAATTTCATTCCTCACCTTCCTTCTACACTACACCTAATATTTTTTTAAAATCCATGTTCTTGTCATCATGTTCTTTTTCCTTCTGTCTTGCTCTTATGTTTTCTTCAAAGTCACATATGTGCTTTTGTATGCCTTACATATGTAATTTTTTTTTTCCACCTTGCATCTGTAATTGATTTTCATCCATTATCTTTTAATTTATATAGCTTTTATTTATGTCATTATTTTTGCTTTTTTAAAAAAGATATTTTCTTTCTTTGTTCTTCCGTCCTTTTTATTTTAATCAGTTTCCACCTTCCGTTGTTACTTACCTTTCCTTCCATGTGCTATTTGCTCTTCTTTTCTGTTATCCAGGTTTTAAGAGGTCGTACATACACCCAGACTTCTGGTTGTCCGGAGACAAGGAAGGTTACTCTGGTGTTGGACTCTACTACAGGACCAGTCCACTCAATATCACAGAAGGCATCGGTGAGTTGTTGTTCTACTTCTTCTTCTTATTTTTCTTCTTCTTCTTCTTCTCCTCTGCCTCCTCCTCCTCTTCTTTTTCTTCTTCTTCGCATTCACCCACTGTAAATTTAACCAGAAAGTTCTGGTCGCTCATCCATTTCTAGACTTGGTCTTGTTCCATAATTGAGTTTTCCATGCACATCCTTTTGACAGAGTTGGCTTGTTTGTTTGCAGACTGTAGGTTCCTCACCTCTGAAGCAGATTCTCTCTGACTTTGAAGGAAACTTTCCTAATTTGTTGCAGTGTATAACAGGCTTGTTAGGGTGGTATAGGGTCCTGAGAGATAAAATTGCTGATATAGACAACTTATTTCAGTCGAATGAAAGAAGAAGAAGAAGAAACTGCCACCTCCACATGAGACAGTGCCTCACTGAAGGGACAAATAGACTTCTTTGTGTGGCCAGTAAGACATTTCTTCTTAGCATTCACTGACTTTAAACTGGCAGAAGGTTCTGGTTGTTCGTCCATTTCTGCTCTATTGCCTTTTATGAGAACTTTGAGTTTTGTTTGCACATCCATTTTATAGATCTGGTTTATTTGTATGCAGACTTTTGGTTCTTTACCTCTCAGGCAGATGCACTTCGACTTCAAAGGAAAACTTCCTTAACTAGTCGTCTTATACGACATGCTTGTTAGGAAGCAGTGGGTCTATTTTTTTTCCCCAGAATGGGGCCCCAGAAGACATGGGGACAAAAAACTTTTAAAAAGATGTCTATTTTAGTTTTATGGTTTTTGTGAGAATACTTTCAGATAGTTTGGAGTTTCGACATGTAGTTTCTACTGAGGGTATATTTAGTGATCAGTTGCAACAAAATATAATAAAAATTGTCACATTGTGGAGTGCCTGGAAATGAGAAAGCTGATCAACTGTCAGAGGAAGGTGCGACAAAAGTGCAGCCGGATGTACCAGGCACATACCACCAAAAGAAAAGAATCATTAAATCAATCAGGAAACCACCAGCCCCAGCACAAGATGACTATTTTATTTTGGACAGATCAGAACCAGTCATTATCCTTCACCTCAGAACAGGGCACAACCGATTACGTAACCACATGTACACAAAATTCAAGATAGGCGTATCAGCCATGTGCACCTGTGGAAAGGTGCCCCAGACAGCAGAGCATGTACTCCAGGACTGCACCAAATTTATGACACATTAAGGCAAACCTTTTGGCCAGAAAGAACAACAGTGGAACGTAAACTCTATGGACCACTAAATGAATTAACAAGAGTGAAATTTATACAAGAGACAAAATTGCTGATATAGACAACTTATTTCAGGCGAACAAAAGAAGAAGAAGAAGAAAAAAATAATTGTTTTGAATTGTTTACGAATTAATAATGAACCAAGAATTGACATCACTGCCATTGGGGCATTCCCACACATGCTCCATACCCTTCTCCATGTGTCTGCATGTGTCTGTGCGTGTGTTTGCTTGTATGTGTGTTCTACATGTGTGTAGCTATGTGTTTGCCTGCGTGTGTGTTTGTATGTCTGTGTCTTTGTTGTGTTTGTGTGTGTGTCTTTGTATGTGCCTATGTGTATGTGTGTCTGCGTGAATGCCTTTGTATATGCACGTCTTTGTGTGTATATATATGTGTTTGTGTGTAGTGTCTCTGGATTTGTCAACATGTGTGTGTATGTGTATCTGCGTGTGTGCCTGTGTATATGTGTCTGCATATGTGTTTGCATTTGTGTGTCTGCGTGTATCTGTGTGTGTGCCTGTGTGTATGAATGCCTGCATATGCTTCTGCGTGTGTGTGTCTGCGTGAGAATCAGCGTGTGTGTGTCTGCGATTTTGTGTGTGTTTGTGTCTCTGAGTGTATCTGTGTGTGTTTGTGCATATGTATCTGTGTGTCCGCGTGTGTGTGTGTCTGTCGCATGTGTGTGTCTGTGTGTTTCTGCGTGTGTGATTGGGTATGTGTGCGTATGTCTGTTTGTGTGTGTGTGTCTGCATTTGTTTCTAAGTGTGTGTGTCTCTGTGTTTATATTTGTATGTTTGTATGTGTGTGGAATGTGCGTGACTGTGTGGGTATGTAGCTATGTATGTGGGTGAATGGGGTGTGTTTATGTGTGTATGAAGGTATGTGGGTGTGTTTAAGTGAGTGGGTGGGTGTGCGTGTGCATGCATTTTACCACAAATGCTTTTGTGTGCTTTTTTTTTTCCTTCTCTTTTTTGATATTCATAATATGCATATTATCATGTAAATATAACATGCTTATTGATAAAATAGAGCTGCAGTGTGAAAGACGGGTGTTTGGAAGGGCTGAATGTAAGACGGGCCTGCGTGCCCAATTTGTGACCCTTTAAAAATAAAGTTCGTTTGTTCTCCAGTAGCCAAAGAAGAGTTCCTATACTGATGGTGCCGGTTGTAACCTGATTAAAAGCTTGCCTGTTTTTTCCTCTATGGGTTCAGTCTCTGCAAAGTCCTAGCTGAATCATTCTCTCCAGATATGGATGGTCTTTTCTGTTGCTCTGTTTGCTTGATCCTTGAGCTTTCACCATGTCCACTTTATCCACAGAACAGCTCATCTCTTAGGTGGTGGCAGCAGCTAATCTATCAGCTTGCTAATTGCCACGCACATCTGCATATCCTGGGCACCAGATCCACAATTTGCTTCTAAAGTGAATCTTAACAAGCAGTGCAAGCCACTCTGAGTGCAAGAAACCAGTTTTCATTTTCTAAAGGACGCTGACTCATTTAAAATGTTTATTGAGTATCATTTTTGGTCTCAACGTTTCATTAAATATTCTTTCTTTCCTCAGGCATTAAGAAGCATGATGAAGAAGGCAGAGTTATAACAGCCGAGTTTGATAAATTTTTCCTTGTCAATACATGTGAGTGGTCTTCATTTCTATGTTTTATTAAGTGGCAGATCCCTTACCTAATCAATATATTTTATGTTTCCAGCAGGGTTTGTTAGATTCAGGACTTACCTAAACTTGCCTGCCATCGGGTTTATCAAAGGTTTCAGTCTCTATTATGGTAGATTTGTTCAAACATGACTTGATCTGCCGGGTCAGTGCAGCCTAGAAATAAGTACTAGGAATTGTAAAGGAATTAAAGGCTTGGTATTTACCGCACCACCCATTGAGTGCTGACTGGTCATAAAGATGAGGCTAGCACCATATGCCTAGTATATCCCAGGTTTGAAAATGGTTCTTTGATTTTTGTATGTGTTGTACTTCTACCAATTTGAGGACATTCTCATCTTTGTGAACCCATCAACCATCTGAGGACATTCTCATCTTTATCATCTTATCAACATTTAAGAGCCCAGAGGGTTTAGCATCACAGGCCCAAGGGGTAGTCAAAAGAGACTAAAATCAGCGCATCATGCGTCATCTTCTGTGAAGTCCATGTGAACATATGATGAGGACCTTCTCTTAAGGACATGTTCTTTGTGAATCCATCAACCATTTCAGCACACTCTCATGTTTGTGAATCCATCAATCATTTGAGAACATTCTTTTCTTGATGAATCCATCAACCATTTCAGCGCATTCTCACCTTTGTAAATCCATCAAATAGTTGCGGACATTCTCTTCTTTGTGAACCCGTCAACCATTTAAGGACATTCTCTTTTTTGCGAATCCCATCAACCATTTAAGGACATTCTCATCTTTGTAAATCCATCAACCATTTCAGGACTTTCTCATCTTTGTAAATCCTTTTTGCACATCCATCAACCATTTAAGGACATTCTCACCTTTGTAAATCCATCAACCATTTGAGGACATTCTCTTCTTTGCGAATCCATCAGCCATTTGAGGATATTCTTGCCTTTTTGAATCTATAAACTACCTAATCAAGTGCCATTGACTGATCCAGAGAGATCAACAGACAGACAAATAAGCTGATGCATTGATAGGCAGATAAAAGACATGTAGGTAACTTGATGCATTCATAGACAGATAGAAAGGTTAATTGATTCATGCATAGATAAACAGACAGACAGCTGGATAGGTAGGTAGGTTGATACATTCATAGAGAGATAGAAAAGTTGATTTATATATGCATAAACAGAAGACAGACATCCCGTTAGACAAGTAGGTTTAGGTAGAATATGTTTTTAAAAACAAAATCAAAAACAGTACAAAGACAACTAAGCACAAACATCAGCAAGACACACTTGCTGTTCTGTGGCCACATTAGGAGAAGAAAAGAACTAGAGCTTGTTAGAATAACTGGAAAATTTTAGAGCTTTTTATAACTGGACATAGAACCAAGGAACGAACAAACAAACTTTATTTTCAAAGAGTTACAAATTGGGCACTCAGGTCCATCTTACATTCGGCCCTTTCAGAGAGTTAGAGAGACAGAATGGTTGATTTATATATGCATAGATAGACAGACATTCGGTCGGTTAAACAAAACAGTACAAAACAGACAACAAATCACAAACATCAGCAAGACACAGTTGCTATTCAGTGGCCACATTAGAAGAATAAGGTGTTATATTGCTGATCATTTGTGGTATGTTGATGATAATGATTTAGGTCCTTGTTTCAGATATTCCAAACTCAGGTCGCGGCCTGCCAAGGTTGGATTATCGAACCAAAGAATGGGATGTTGACTTTAGAAACTACCTGAAATCTCTGGACAAGAAGAAGCCAGTAGTTTGGTGTGGAGACCTCAATGTGGCACATCATGAGATTGGTATGTTCTGTGTTCTCAGTTCCATGTCTACAAATGTGTTTGATGTTATTATCCTACGACAACTCTTTTGTTTGCCCAGTATCATTCTCTGTAGATTGTTGGTTTTTCTTCTTTCCTCTGATTGTTAAAGAAATCTCATTTTCCCACCAGGTTCCTCCTCTCTTCTTCTTCTTCTTCTTCTTCATGTTCACCGGCTGTTAACTTCGGCAGAAAGTCTTGTTGTTCATCCACTTCTCTAATCTTATTCTAGAACTTGAGTTTTGCTTGCACATTCGGTTTTTAGATCAGGCTTACTTGTATGCAGACTATTGGTTCCTTACCACTGTGACTTCAAAGGAAATCCCTAATATGTCGAATCTTATGACATGCTTGTTAAAGAGATACTGGGTTACCCTAGAATGGGGCCCTGAAGCCAGCACAGAGATCACCGGGTTGTAGGTTATCCCTTACAGTAGGTCCAACACCATATGACTGGAGCATCATTGGCAAAAAATGGGTCTTGTTTGTTATTTTATTCTTTCTTTTTTCTTTTTTTTTTTTTAGATAAATCTTATAAACTTTTTGTAACCCTTGATGCTAAGCTTACGAAGTCATGGATGATCATCTTACAGAATCACCAGTGGGACTTTCTTCTTCTTCTTCGATTCTTCTGTCAGAAAACTGATATCAGGAGGACGTTAGCCTTTATGAAAGCTATCGTGATTGATTGATTGATTTGATTCAAGAACTGACATCACAGCACTCAGGGCATTCTCAAAAGCGCTCTGTCCCTAACTTCAGCAGCCAGCAAAAGGGTTCAGATACTAATGGGTCCAGTAGCATTCTAATTAAACGTCCATCTTGCCTTTCCTCTAAGCCTCGAGCATCTGCCAGAACCTCTTGTCACTTCCCCCTACATCAATCTCACCAGACTGTGGTGATCCATCTGCTCCTCCTGCTATCGTGCAGTCCATATCCTCTCGTGTACCAAACAGCTTTGTCTTCATTGTGGTTGGAACAGGCCAGATTGCATCTCAGTTGTCAGCATACAGTTGACAGTTTTTAATGGGACGTTGATGATCGTGTCTGTCCACATCTCACTGCCTCTGATGCTGCCAGTCAGTCCTCTATGCCATGATGCAAAAACTATCAAACTACTAACACAATCTCTCTTGGTCTCCACCTGGCTGGCTTTCCTTTGATGTCCTATTCAGGAGGACATTTCATTTCTGCTCTCCATCTGTTCACACTAACATTTTGTTTTGTTTTTCTATTACTGTTAACCTAATTGTAATGCATAACTTCATTGTTTAAAAAAACATTTTTTTTTTTAAACAATATTTATACAACAGATTTAAAGAATCCCAAAGGAAACAAAAAGACAGCAGGGTTCACAATAGAAGAAAGAGAATCTTTTACTGTCACCCTTAGTGAAGGCTTCATTGACTCGTTCCGTTACCTCTACCCTCACCAGGAGGGAGCCTACACTTTCTGGACACACATGATGAATGCTAGAGCCAAGAACACAGGATGGTTAGTGCCCAGATGTGTGTAGTTATTGTCTGTTGGTTTAGTTCTCTGTTGTCTATCCTATTGATATCTTAATGGCAGACCCAAGAATGCAGGATGGTTAGTGCCCAGATGTGTGTAGTTATTGTCTGTTGGTTTAGTTCTCTGTTGTGTATCCTATTGATATCTTAATGGCAGACCCAAGAACACAGGATGGTTAGTGCCCAGATGTGTGTAGTTATTGTCTGTTGGTTTAGTTCTCTGTTGTCTATCCTATTGATATCTTAATGGCAGACCCAAGAACACAGGATGGTTAGTGCCCAGATGTGTGTAGTTATTGTCTGTTGGTTTAGTTCTCTGTTGTGTATCCTATTGATATCTTAATGGCAGACCCAAGAATGCAGGATGGTCGGTGCCCAGCTCTATGTAATTTTTGTCTTTTGGTTCGGTTCTCTGGTTTGTATATCTTCACATTGATATTTGAATGCCAGAACCAGAAATGCAAGATTGTTAGTGCCCAGCTCTGTGTAATTGTTGTCCCCTGGTTCGGTTCTCTGGTTTGTACATCTTCACAATCTACAGGTGTCTGGCCCGGAAGAGACATGCTGATCATGATGTTGCAACCGCCCCTGTCATCCGATATTGTGTTGACATTTTTGTTGCTTATATTATTATTTGCTGCTTGGCTATTTAAACTTTCCGTGTACATCTTTCTCTGACTTTCTCTGCCTGTCTTGCCCAGTAGTTTTCTACAAAAGGCTAATTTCTCTGTTTCAGTTTTTCTAATATCAGTGTAAGTTTTGTTTGTTTTTTGTTTGCCTTTTGGTTTTGATGAGTAATCTACAGTGATGTTCTTTCCACGCTGGTAGGCCTAGGGTGTAGAAAGGGTTGAGTAACACAGATCTACAGCAACAACTCTGTTAGTACTGGGGGCATTTTGTTGCTGTTGTCAGCTCTGTCTATAATATTCTCCTCAAAAGCCACATCTCTTCTCCTAGTTTCTCCCATATGTCCTCCTTGTCCAGAACTTGTCTCTGTACAAAAAACAAACCATCCCCAGGTGTTTATTTGTATGCATTTAGCTTTAACAGACCTGTCTATCCAAGGTCTATTTTCTTATATTTATCGTTCCATTGGTTGGGTTGTTGACTTTGGATTCTCTGGGAGACTGGAGTGGAGTCTGCCATCAGATTATTTCAGTCTTGCAGAGAGAGAGAGAGTGTGTGTGTGTGCATGTGTGAGTGTGTATATATATATATATATATATATATATATATATATATATATATATATATATCAGTTTGAGACTAATATAGGTTTTGTCACAGTACTGCCTCCACAGGGACTTGTATGGCAGAGCTCTCTTTCGTGCCTCCAAGAGCAGGAAATTGATGATGTAGCAGCTGAGACACTAGAATTGTTGCCTTTGCTAATAAAGTCATAAAGCCACTTCAGGGATGTAAAAATATTAGTATATCTGCTAAGAAAACATATAATTCTCAAAGATAAATATTTTGTGTGTGTTTAAAGTTACAATTGTGTTGTTTTCTTTCATAAGGCGTTTGGACTACTTTGTGCTGTCCGAGCGACTCAAGGACAACCTTTGCGACAGTATCATCCGCAGCCATGTTCTGGGTAGTGATCACTGTCCTATCGTACTACAGTTGGCGCTGTAGTCATCTGTTTCCAGCTATAGATGTTGGAGCAGTCAAGCTGGTTATTTGGGCTCCAAATAATGATTGTAAAACTGATCTTCAAGTAAAGATTGTATTTTATAAAGAATGATTGTCTAGTTGCTCTTTAAAGAATGATTATGTTATGTGAAGTCTCAGTGTCATTATTTCTTTGTACAAAATTTCAAAACAAAAATGATAGCAAGTAATGCTCCACTGTTGATCTGAAAACAAATTATGTATTGCTCAAACAACATTTGTAACCCATGTCTTTAGTACTTGGGTGACCCAAACATGATGTTTTCATTTCCTCTAGATATTTTTTTTTCTTTCTGGGAGGTACTTGGCAGCTTAGCGTCAGTTTATTTTATTTTTTTAAATTCATTTTTTAATATACCAATCTTAGGCTGTTTTTGAGCATCTGTTGACTTAGTCATGAATTATGATTTGAAAAAAAAAAAAAGTAGCTGTCCCAGGTTTTTTTTTTTTCCACCTAGAACCAATGAATTTTATTTCCAATAGGTCACTTTTTGGGCACACATGCCCATCTTACATCAGTCCTTTCAAATACTCCTCTTTCTCCTCTTTCACACAACAGTTGTATTTGATATAACTAGCATATGCATTTGATATTTATTAATCAAAATTCTTAGTAGGAATGTAAATTAAAAATACAAAAACATGGATGGCAAATGCATAGCTCTAAAAATGCATAAAAAATACACACACAACGCAGACACATGTGAGGCAAGAAAAAAACAAATTTTAACCACATCCACTACAAAAGATATGTGATGTAAACAATCCAAGAAACCATCTCTTTTTGTCTGTGTATATTTTAGCGGCAAAGCATCAAATATGTCTGAGCAGTTCAAAGAGTTGTGCTCTTGATAAGGCATCTTCTTTGAGAATCTCTGCAGTGGGTCGGTCTGCCGGATGTAAATCTGAGGGGAGGGTGGTATAGGCCAGCAATAGTATATCTACTGATAGGATTCCTCAATTGGGACATACCACCAGTAGTATGTCTACCGATAAGGTTCCCCAAGTGGGACATACCACCAGTAGTAAATCTACTGATAAGGTTCCCCAGGTGGGACATACCACCAGTAATATATCTACTGCTAGGGGTTCCCAAGTGGGACATACTGCCAGTAGTATATCTACTAATAGGGTTCCCCAAGTGGGACATACCACGAGAGGGTAGGCCACTATAGTATATCTACTAAAAGGGGTCCCTAAGTAGGAGAGTCCACACATGTAGGACATGCCAATATAGTGTATTTAGGGTCCCCTAAATGGGACAGGCCACCAATAGTATATCTACTGGGAGGGTGGTAATGGCCACTAATAATATATCTACTGGGAGGGTGGGACAGGCCACCAATAGTATATCTACTGGGAGGGTATGACAGGTTTCCAATAGTATATCTATTGGGAGGTGGGACAGGCCACCAATAGTATATCTACTGGGAGGTGGGACAGGCTACCAATAGTATATCTACTGGGAGGTGGGACAGGCTACCAATAGTATATCTACTGGGAGGGTGGGACAGGCTACCAATAGTATATCTACTGGGAGGTGGGACAGGCCACCAATAGTATATCTACTGGGAGGTGGGACAGGCTACCAATAGTATATCTACTGGGAGGTGGGACAGGTTACCAATAGTTTATCTACTGGGAGGTGGGACAGGCTACCAATAGTATATCTACTGGGAGGGTGGGACAGGCCACTAACAGTATACCTACTAGGAGGGTGTCTCAAGTAGGACAGGCCACCAATAGTATACCTACTAGGAGGGTGTCTCAAGTAGGACAGGCCACCAATAGTATACCTACTAGGAGGGTGTCTTAAGTGGGACAGGCCACCAATAGTATACCTACTGGGAGGGTGGGACAGGCCACCGACAGTATACCTACTAGGAGGGTGTCTCAAGTGGGACAGGCCACCAATAATGTGCCTACTGGTGTAATCTCCCAAGTTTGTACAGACTGACAGAGACCACACAAAGCCTGCTACCTTGCAGGTACACAAGGAACAACGATTTATAAAAGGCAAACTCGAAAAACATGCCTGACGAAATCACATGAACTTGGCCAGAGGCCTGACGAAACAGTCTAATTCAAGAGACAATGAAGGAAAAGATAATAATGTTCTCTTAAATTATGACTTTGGGCTACAGATATGACTTGATCAAAACCATGACCTGCACTGACCAAGACCACAGAGCACCTCTCTCGTGGTCAGTCATTTTGTCACTGGTAGATCACTCCACGGTCAGTCACTTCTCCCTTGTTGACTACCCCACAATCATTCACCTCTTCATGATCGGCCATCCCACAATCAGTTACCTCTCTCTGATAAACTACATGGTCTGTCAGCTCTTCCTGGTCAACCACTCTATGGTCTGTCACCTCTCCCTGGTCAACCACACTATGGTCTGTCACCTCTCCCTGGTCTACCACTCTATGGTCTGTCACCTCTCCCTGGTCTACCACTCTATGGTCTGTCACCTCTCCCTGGTCTACCACTGTATGGTCTGTCACCTCTCCCTGGTCTACCACTCTATGGTCTGTCACCTCTCCCTGGTCAACCACTTCACGGTCTGTCACCTCTCTCTGGTCAACCACTCTATGGTCTGTCACCTCTCCCTGGTCAACCACTCCATGGTCTGTCACCTCTCCCTGGTCAACCACTCCATGGTCTGTTCCTTCCCCCTGATAAACCATTTCACAGAGTCATCATCTCAGCTATCTGCCCTACAGTCATTATTTTAACTCCTGCATCTCCATAATATTATCACCTGTCAGACAATTATATTAACTCATCTTGTCTGACAATTTGTATTTTAACTTCTGTGTCCAACAATTATTATGCTAATTCATGTCCCATATTTATTTTGCTTACCCTTGTCCCTAATTTACTTTGTCAAGCTTCTTCTTTTTTGTGTGTGTGTCCTACTGCTTATGCTGGCGTGATGCTGACCACATCACCCATCTTGTGCCGTTGGTCTTTAAAATATAGGTCTAGCCCTATATGCCTAAAGGCGTGGAAAAGGGGCCTTGACTTTTTTTTACTGCTTATGCCGTAAAGTATTGCAGAGGGGAGTTACATGTAGGTTCCTATTTTTTATTAGCTGCGTAGCCTGTGTTAATGTCATGCGTTTCCGTAGTGTCTTCTTTTACTCCCTCCATCCATAATGTTCTTGGTTGGCCTCTTGCCTTGCAGTGTTGTTCTCATGTAGCACACTCTAGCATCTGGCTGATTTTGTTCCATTCTGACCACATGACCAAATCATTTGATTCTTTGCTGTTCTGCACAATCATTTACCGGTGCTGTGCCTAACATTTCTAAGTTCTTTATTGGTGATTCTGTCTCTGTTTTTCCCACAGTATTTCTTATATCTCCTCTCACAATTTATAAGTCATGCCATACAATTATTTTTAACAAATTTTTTTTACGAATTCTTAATTTATTGTTTTAACGCATTCTGTTCCAAAAATGTAAGAATACAAGGTAACAACTGCATGAATAAACAAACATGTACTGAACCAGCAAGGGATTTAACCCAAATCGTAGGTAGGAGAGCAAAAGTTTTTGCCATCCTACTTGGCACTTGGATAATTATAAATGTCAAAACAACTTTTAGAAAAACATGTTGTATATTGCTGCCTTAAAGACTGTCACTTGAATGCAGTAAAAAAATTAATTTTAATAAACCGTATATTCAGGAGCCATTATATTGGTAAGATGTGGATGGAATTCATGAGGGAAAGCCAGCATCACAACCATTCATTTATTATTACTTGCACGTTTTATATTTATAAAGTCATAATTTCTCCTTCTCTTCTTCATTCTGCTGCTTTCTCTCTCTCTCATCTTCATATTTCTTCTTCATCATTCTCCTTCTCCTCCTCAGTTTTCTTCCTCTTCTTCTTTCTCTGCATTTTTTCTGCGGCTTTCTCTTATTCTTTATTTTTTTTTCATTTTGATTTTTCATTTTAGTTCCCTCTAAAATAACCATTAGGCTCATTTCAAGTATGTTCACTTCAGTCAGTGAGCACAGTGCAATGACCATGAATTGCACATTTCATTTCCATGAAAATCTTTTAAAGGAAAGGAACTAAACATTTGTTTTAATTAATAAGATAAAATACATTTTGAAAATGAGAATAAAGCGTATTGAAAAACATACAATATGTATGTGTATAAAAAAAATATATATTTATATAGCAAAAGGTACACATTAAAAAAAAACCATTTTATATTAATGATTTATCTTCTATATATCAATCATACATTTTTTATAAAAGAACTGTTTGAATAGAAAACTATTTTAACAGAATGTATAATTTATTATGCCCCCCCCCCCCCCCCTCCCTGCATATGATTTTTTATAGCAACGATATGCAATTGTTTCAACTAGCTCAGTTCTTTTGTAAAAAAACAAAACTGAATAGAAAACTATTTAATAATGTATAATTTATTTACAGTAGAAATGTGGAATCAGATTAGTGGAAGTAGCTACATTCATAGAAAGAATGAACTTAACAGAGGAAATTAGCCCACAGATTCCATGTGTAGAGTAGTAATAAACAAAGATGTGGTCAGTTTGGACAGGCAGAGTCCAGAAATCTACGGCTCAAAAGTCATAATTCATATTCACCTATCGCTGTGTGAGTTCTGGGACCCCATTGTGGAGAAAACAAGAATAGACCCACTGCCTCCCCAACAAACATGTCAAAAGAGTCGACTAACTGGGGGTTTCCTTCAAAGTCAGAGTGCATCTGCCTGAGAGGCAAGAAACCAACAATCTGTCTGCACACAAGAAAGTCAAATCTGTAAAACTGATGTGCACGCAACACTGAGGTTCTGGAACCAGATTAATTTCCAGAGGTGGATGACACAACCAGAACTTTCCACCAGAGTTTACAACTGGTGAACATGAAGAAGAAGAAGAGATATTCACATACATTCACAGTGTGTTTTCTACAAATGCATGAGACAAACTTGGCAGCACCATTCAAAGAAGCTTCAAATCTTTCAAATAATCTGTGGAATGTAACCTTGGCCCTGGTGCCCTGAACCATCAACATCAGGTGCTATGGTGATAAGCACAGGCAAACGTGGTTGACACCTCACATCTGATTGGGTGTTTGATCTCTACTTTATTATATTAATATTGTCAAGCCATCCACAGTATCCTCCCTGTTAATTACCATTCACGTTTGCCAGTTTTTACCACATTTTCAAGTTTATATCAAATCACTGCTACATCTTTTTTGTCAAATCAGTTTGCAATTTTTTTTCTGCTTCTTGGTGGCCTATCTCATCCATTTTTATCTAAATGCCTGTTGCGCCTGCAACAGCTCGTGTTGTGAAGTGCACTAAAAATGGCAGGTGGCTGATTACAATGGTGTTGTTTATGCCGACCCGTGTGTACAATGCCAGCTTTCATAATTGGCCGCTTGCATCGACAATGAGCTGCAATCAATTCTGGTATGTGACTAGTTGTGTAGGCACACCTAAAGGCTGCCTAATGCATTTAGTTTCTGTGTGCAAACTACCAGATTTTACTGGGACTGACATCCACCTTCCCCCTCCACATCCACTAGTTTTCAGACGGGTTGGTGAATGGCATTTTCTGTGATTTCCACCAACACAGAAACGGAGCACTTGTGTGACAACCTGTCTGCAATGAAACTGGAACCCTGACTAACAACTTTTCATTCATGCTGTTGTTGGTATTTTCCTTAGCAACCATATTTCTGCTACCATCAGATGTTACTTGGCCTCTGCTGCTGATTGTCCTGGTCTTGCAAGTACCTAGAGCGTGCTAAGACATGTAAGTTCGAATCGTACTTGTGATCTTGGCACGACAGATGGGGCAGAGAGCTAAGGCAGGTGCACAAGATGAGCAGACTAAATGACCACATGGTATAAATGCCACACAGGCATCTTCATCTAAGCAGATTTTACACATCTTCTGCTCCTTCAGTTTCTGATTCTCTTCAGCCAGCAGTAAGAAATCTGAAATAAATTATCATCTAAGCTTTACTGGCAAGTCACTTTAGGCTTTTCAGCTGCAGAATAAAATATTTTTAAATTAAAGTAACACTTTTATTTTCTAGGAGCTGCCATGGTGTAGAGGTTACATGCTCACCTGTGGATCTGAAGGTTGTGGGTTCAAATCCACAGCGAGCTGGATTTTGTCTTTCATGACCTTGGCTCCCAGGTCAGCCCAGACTTAAATAGGTACAGGTAAAATCCTAGGAAGTAAAATTGCTTGGCAAAATGCTGACCACATCATCCATCAATGGTCTATAAAAAATATGAGCCTAACCTTATATGACTGTTGCACTACGTGCATGTAAAGGGACCTTTACTTACTTTCTTACTTTTATTTTCCATGTTGGTGTTCATTTTGTTTGGGATCTAATAAATATATGTTTTATTATATCTGTCTCAGTCTCTCACAACCATGTGGTTGATTACATGATGAGAGTGTTGCACAAACTCCACAACTCCTGTGATGACCCCAGGGATTTTGGGACAAAAAATGGCACTGGTCAGCCGAATGATTAAGTCAGCTCTTTCAGAGAGGCTCTAACATCATTTCAAGACTACTGAGTTGAGTGCTTGGTGTGACACTCTGAGCTGTGAATTTCATGTAATATTGTGTGTGATTTCTACTGGTACAGGAGTGGAGCAGTTACTGTTCACAGTCACTTGGCATCACAATTCAGAATCAATTCTCTTCAGACTTTCCTGCCTTTTCAAGTCCTCGTTCCTTCAGCAAACAGTTGACGTTTACTTCAGTCATTCCATTCGAAACCACTTGCTTCTTGTACGGTCAGCCAACAACTACCTCTATCTCATTTGTCCTTCAAAACCCTTGTCCCCTTGCCACGGGATTTGGTCTTGAAACTGTTCAGTGTTACACATGAATATCACTTCCCTTGCTTTACCCGTTTCTCACACTGGCCTGTAACACCACTACATCATCTCAGGAAACCCTTCAGACCTCCCTGGGAATTTCCCTTACTACATCAACCCATCTGCAGTGATGTTGGAACCTCGACTAACGACTAACAAGACAATAGGTTTGAATCCTGGCATGCCTATAGCCTACAGTTGTTTCCTACTACCTGGTACATCTGTTTATGACCACATGTTTCTCTAATCTGTGATGAATGTCAGTCAAAATGTATGTGTTCATTTGTTTTAGAGTGTCATGCCATCTTACCCTGGACAGTAAAACAGGGATCAAAGAGGAAGAGCTGATGAAGAAGAAGTAGTAGTAGCAGAAGAATAGGACAGGGGATTGGGGAGTAGTAGTAATAATACTATAAGTAGAAGAAGGAGAATAAGTTGACTATGAGAAGGGAAAAGGGGAAGGGAGGGTGAGTGTGTGCAGCAGTAGAGATTATGACAAAAAGTAACCTTCTTCTATTTCTTCTTCTTTTGTCCTCTCACTGATGCCAGGTTTTAGCCCAGTGTTGTTGTTTTCTGTATTTGTCTTGTAATATCTCAGGTGGCTTGGGTGATAGATTTGTTCATCTTTTGCAGGTTTCAGCTACACAATTTATCCATCTCTATCTTGGTCTTTTCCTCATCTTCCTTCTAGCTGCATTCTCACTAGATGGCCGAACTATTTCATTCTGTGTCAGTATAATTCAGACTGTCTCATTTTAACTTTCTCTCTCATGCCGGTTCCTTCTTTCGTTGTTAGTGTGACAATATGGACTCAGCATATTTCAAAGGTAGTAAAGAGAAAGTAGCTTTAGAAAGAGAATCATCATCATTAATTCTCCTTATGCCTAGTGGCTCATGAGGCTTCAGAGAGGACTTTCCATGCTTTTCTGTCCTGTGTAATCTTCAATGGAGTTTTCCATGTCAGAGATGCCGCATTTAGGTCACACTCCATCGTTTGTCTCCATGTTGTTTTTGGGCGCCCCTGTTTTCTCTTTCCCTCTGGTGTCCATGTGAGAGCTGTTTTGGCAGGTATATCAGTATTTATTCTCTTAACGTGGCGTAGCCATTTCCATCTTCTCTTGGTTATCATACTGTCTAGAGTTTCTTGGTTTGTGACTTGAAGTAGTTTAGTGTTTGAGATTATATCTGGCCAGAAATTATACATAGACATGTGTGGTGGTAGGTGGATAGCTTGTGCATATCCATTTTGGTCATTCTCCAGCATTCTGCTCCATAAAGAAGTACTGGTACAATAATGCTCTTGTAGAGTCGAAGTTTTGTTCCTCTGCAGTAACTGTTGGATTTCCAGATTTGCCTCATCCTTCCAAAAGCATCTCTAGCTTTGTTCAGGCATGACTGTATGTCTTCATCTGTCCCTCCCACTAGGGACACCACACTACCAAGATAAATGAAAGTTTCTACATTTTCAAGTGTTTGGTTGTTTATGGTCACTGTTTGTTGGTTTGGACTGTTTGTCATGAATTAGAAAGAGAATAACACAAAACAACACAATGAAAAGCCTGTTTCTATTGCTTGGGTTGTCTGTGGGTAAATGATGCTAGCACTATATTTTATAGACTGAGTGATGTCAATATCTCCAGGCCACCTTTACTTGCCAAAACAGTCTCTGATACCAATTTTGGGCTGGGTCAACCTGGCAGACCAGATCAATCGTTTAATTAAAAATCCAATGTTCAGTTCAAGCCAGGAGGCAAGTGTGCTACCTATGGTTACAGCATCATTCATTCCACAGAAGATGTAAGAAAATGATATATCATTATAATGATAAATATTTACTTTTGCTGGTCGATGAAGCACTGGCACCATATGTCGGCACCCTGAGTTTCTTTGTGGTTCCCAAATCTTGGCCAGATTTTTTGCTGAGCCCAAACACAGCTTCCAGGAGAGCTGTCTCATTTGTGAAGTCCTGCCCTGGAAAATAGAAAGGATTTATAATGTTGTATGCCCTGCTTGGGGAAAAGAAAGGATTTCTAATGTTGTATGTCCTGCTCTGAGGAATAGAGAAGATTTCTAATGTTATATTTTTAAAATCCATACGAAAAAATAGAGTACTGCAGAAAATGACCGGTCGCCCCAGTATTTTTAAACAAATTTTGAAAAAAGCAAAAGACACTGCACCAGGGCCTGATGGTGTCAGGTATGGTCACATGAAGGCTTTGAGCGATGTAGACCTGGCAGAGATGGCCGACTGTTTTAACCAGAGTATTAAGACAGCATCAGTACCGCAAGACTGGGTGCACAGCTATCTAATCCCACTACCAAAACCTTTTAAAGATAATTCTAAGCTTAGTGGCTTTAGAATCATCACCCTACAAAACACATTTGGTAGGTCTTGGAGAAGATAGTTGCTGTAAAGTTACAAGAATTTTTGGAAAGGGGGAAGCTTCTCCCAAGAGGTCTGGGAAGTTACAGTCCAGGAAAGGACACTTAGGCAAATGCGGCCACTTTTGCTTTTGACGTCTATGAAGGGTTCCAGAACAGCATGAAACTATGGCGGTAGGACTGGATCTCAAGGATGCTTATAACAGAGTGAGATACGATATCTCAATGACTGCACTGAGGGAGAAGGAGGTCAATCCATGGCTGGTGAATTGGGTTGCAGCTGTCCTGTATTCACGTCGGGTTGCTCTCCGACTGGGCTCATGGACCTCTGAACCATGCACTTTGGCCCCAGGACTGCCACAGGGATCCGCCATCTCGCCTGTGCTCTTCAACGTGTACACGAGCAAGATTGCAAGCCAAGAAGCACCAGGAGTTGGAAGGATACTGACTTTTGCGGATGATATACTTGCATATAGGCAGGGGGAAGAGAGGGAACAAATAGCTCGGAAGCTGCAAGCGACAGTAGACCAAGTGACTGAGTGGTGTACAGAAATGAAGGCTGTCGTCCATCCGGAAAAGGCGTCTGTTTTGTGGTGTTCTCTGGACAACAGAATCGTTAAAACTAATGTAATCTGGTAATCTAATGTCCCAAGTCTCACGATAGATGGTAGAGACGTCAACAGAGAGAGCAAACTGAAGTATCTGGGAATTACATTTGATAGGAGCCTGTCATTTAAGGACCATGTGGAGAGTGTTGTGACGAGATGCCAAAAAGGACTTAGTGCAGTTAAGACTATGGCTGCAATTGACATAGAGCAGAGAATGCTTTTCACACTATCAAAGAGTCAGATGGACAAACTAGAGCGCATACAGAACGCGGCTATGCGGATCATTCTGGGTTGCACCAGAGACACCCCAGTGGTGTGTATGTGATACATTCTTGGTTTGCCGACGGTTGCATGTAGGCACAAGGTGATGCAGGCGAAGTCATATCTCAGGGTACCTGCAGACACAGACCACCCTCTGCATGAAGCTCTGGGTGCAGTTAAGGGTCAGCCGCTGATAAGAGGTCATGGATGGCTCAGGCAGAAGACACAATCAAACAGGTTTGCATCCTTAAAAACATTGGGCGAGGAGAGGAGTAGGTCAAAGTGCCACCTGAGCAGTCAGACTTGTGTAGTCATGATCACGCTGAGCCGGGAATGCAGAGACTGGCCAGCAGGTGCCACAAAGGTGGAAATTCAGCAATTAATTCAAGATAATGCTGGCTCAGAGGATTTGATCACTTACACAGACGGTTCAGTGTCAAGAGGCAAAAGAAGTGCTTGGGGCTTTTTAGCAAAAGTTAATGGTCGACGTTTGGTGCAGGAGAGCCTAGCATATGATACCACAACATCCAGCTTAAGAATGGAGGTGAAGGCGGTCACTGCAACTGTGAGGAGTATTGTCTGGATTTTTTTCACCGGGTCACGCCGTTGTGTTGGGAAATGAACAGGCGGACAGACTGTCTGGCTCTGCACAACTTGGTGGAATACTGCTACATGATAGGGCAGATGTGGTTAGTGCCTTGTGGGAGAGCATGTACAATGCGGAGGAGCAGATGGATCACCATAGTCTGGTGAGATTGATGCAGCTGGGGGTGACGAGAGGTTCTGGCAGAAGCTCGAGGCTCAGAGGAAAGGCAAGATGGACGTTTAATCAGAAAGCTACTGGCACCATTAGTATCGGAACTCTTCTCTGGCTGCTGAAGATGGGGACGGAGCGCTTATGGGAATGCCCCGAGTGCTGTGTGTCGGTTCTTGAATCAAATCAAATCTAATGTTATATGTCCTGCTCTGAGGAATAGAGAAGATTTCTAATGTATGTCGTGCCATGGGGAATAGAGAATATTTCTTATATTGTATGTGCTGCCCTGAGGAAGAGAGAAGATTTATAATGCTTTATGTAATGCCATGGGGAATAGGGAAGATTTTTAATGTTGCATGACCTGTACTGAGAAATGGATAAGATTTCTAAGGTTGCATATCCTGCCCTGGAAAAGAAAGATCATTTCTAATGATGTATGTCCTCCCCTGAGAAATTCAGAAGATTTCTAATGTTGTAAGTCCTGCCCTGGGCAAGAGAGAAGATTTCTCATGTTGTTTTCCTGCCCTGGAAAAGTGAGAGGATTTATAATATTGTATGTCCTGCCCTGGGGAGGAGAGAAGATTTTTAATGTTGTATGTCCTGCTCTGTGGAATAGAGATTTCTAATGTTATAAGTCCTGCCCTAGGTAAGGGAGAAGATTTATGAGGTTGCATGCCCTGCCATGGAGAAAGGGGAAGATTTCTAATGTTGCATGTCCTGCTCTGGTAAAGAGAGATTTCCAAGGTTGTATGTCCTGCCCTGAAAAAGAGAGATGATTTCTAATGTTGTAAATGCTGTCCTGGGGAAGAGAGAAGATTTTTTAATTTGCAGAGAAAGAAAGAGAGCAACAGGCAAGGATATGTATAGTGTCATGAAAATAAAACACTGAAGTCTTGGAAGAAGCTAAGCCTGACAATAAAGAAAAAAAGACAGTGAAATCAAGCAAGCAAATGTCATAATTTAGCTAAGTAAAATTGGCTGGTTGGTTTAGTGTGTGATGAGTTCGGTTTGTTAGTGAATGCTCTGAAAAGACGGTTTAAACTCTTAGATTGTATGCATTGATTTTTAAATCCAGTGAACCTAGAAAAGGGGCTGATCTGTTAAAGTTGTGAGTCTAGGAAATAGGCTGCATCTATTTGAGGAAGCTTGGTGTAGAGACTTTCTTCCTGACCAAGTACTAACAATGTAGCATCTCCATGATGACTGTGTTGCAAAGCTATCCTTTCCCTCTCCAAACTCTGAAACAAGCAGGACTTCAATTGGAACTTCTCATCCATGCAGTTTTAGGATGTAACCAGGACATGGTTGTGTAAAGCATCTACAGAATGGTATGGGTTGGGCCTAGGTTGGTGGTCAAGATATCTTCAGTAGACTGAGCAGATTCTCTGTACCTTCCAAAACTCCAACCAGATGTCCAGAGGGAGACACTCTTATGACAACCATACTGGAGGGGACAGTTGAAAGTGTGGCACTCTTGCAAGGCAGCCAGCCACTCTGCATGGAGGGACTGAAAAATAAGGGATAAAACTGGTGCCATAAGTTGATTCTGGCACCTTTAGTTCCTCTTTGCCTCTTTTTCTGGGTTCTGAGGCTCCATTTTAAAGAACAAAGAATAGACCCACTACGCCGCTCCCACCAGCCCCCTTCCTTTTCCAGCAAGTATTTCCCAGAAGGCAACTAATTAGGGATGTTTTTTTCAAAGCCAGAGTGCGTCTGCTTGAGAGGCAAGGAGCCAGTGCTCTGCATACACATGAGACAAATCTGTAGAACAGATGTGCACACAAAAATTCCAAATTCTGGGTCAAGACCAAAGTGAATGAATAACCAGAACTTTCTGCCGGAGTTTACAGCCAGTGAATATAAAGACGAATTAGTCCTCTTCAAGTTTTCAAGTGGAGTGCTTTCAAATAAAAATTGTTTGATCTACTGTGTCCTCTTATTTCTGCTTTCATGCATCACCTTCTATAAATGCCAACTAGCACCTGTGGATTTATCAGTGAAACTGAGAAAATTTAGACATGTGTCTCACCTTTGTCTGTTAACCTCTGTCTGATTGCCTTCTTGACAAATTTCTTGGGAATGTCCAGTCGTAAAACTGCTTTAATAACTGGATTGTCCATTTGGGCAGTCATTTTGTCTTCCATGATCCTCCTAACTGTAAACATAGTGAAACAAAATGCTTAAAATAGATAACAGTTGCAAGCAAATAATCTAGAATGAAGAAAGAGAAAAAAAGAGATTTCTCGAATTTATATAAATTTTCAATTCAAATGTCACTTCTATTTTTACACACACCTGAGGTTTGAGGTTTGAACAACGAATCAACAACATGGCACACGCGTAGTAACCCATAAGTGTTCCGTTCTTCTAACGCAAGTCTGAGTCTGAAGAAGCTCAGCACAGTGCACAGGCTCTGTAGCACCGGCGAGGATCCTGAAATACTTTGGGTAGATTTTAAACTCCAAAATTTCCCCGGGCAGCGCTGTTAGGCTACTCTTGTCGATTTCCAACTGCCAAGAAATATTTTTCACGTGCGCAACAATGCACATGGGCGTCCGATCTCACTACCCAGAGACCAGAGGGAATTACTAGAAGTCCAAGTCCACGTGAAAAAATCCCAGCCCTTACCGGAGATTGAACCTGGAACCTTTAGCACTCGAGGCGGACACCATGCCCCGAGACCACGCAGCCCCCTGGATATTGGAGAACTCTTCGAGAAAGAATTTAAGTTAAATTTTTTCGAAAATAAAAGGCTGAGGAAACTGATAAACAATGTAACGGGAGAGGGGGGGGGGGGGAATTGCGAGGAAATAAAAATGTCTCGACAACTGCTAGTGTCAGTAGTTATAAGACAAAAAAAAGACGCTGATATATTGCGCACTTCTTCGAATTAACTGGCTGTACACTACAGTGGAAAGTTCTGGATGTTCATCCATTCCTGGACTTGGGTCTTATTCCAGGATTTGAGTTTCGTGTGCACATTCGTTTTACAGATCTGGCTTATTTGTATGCATGTTGTTCGTTCTTTGCCTATAAGGCAGATGCAATGTCTGACTTTACAAGAAACATCCCTAATTAGTCACTTCCTACAACATGCTTGTTGGGGTTGGGGGGAGGTGGACAGTGGGTCTGTTCTGTGTTCTCCAAAATGCAGCTCCAGAACCTACACGGGGATCGGGCACATCGTAAACAGAAGTGAGCAGAGAATCACCAAATAGGCTCTGAAATGGGGAACAAATGGTCTGTGGAGATGAAGACGCCTAAGAGAACCCTAAGAATAACATTGATGAGTGGAGCCACTGGTACTAGACCAGACTGCCAACCCTTTCTGGGGTATAACGGTATATCATAATGATGATAAAATCATCGCCTGTGCAGACTGTTTTAATGACCTGAAATCGGTTCCAGCAAATACGTTAGGATGTGAGCGTGTCTAATGTGATGTTGACACGCAACCCATCGACTACCAGTTGGTCTATGAAACTAGTACTAGTAGTAGTACATTTACCCCACTAGGACATCACACAAGCGATTAACACCCGATGACACAAAGTGCCACCATGTGGATGAGGATCACCGTGGAGAGGTCCTGGAAACCGCGTTTAAGCCATTAGACCATATTCATGCCCTGGCTATATTGCGGCCCCTGTCAAAAGCCAGGCTGGGGCTTCAAAATAACGAAAAATTGCATCTCACAAAGGGATGACTACTACTAACGTATGAAACTGTAAAGCTTACAACAAATGTCTAACACGCTTATAGACGTGAGAAGAGTTAGTGAATTTTGACTTTATATACAACAATTTCATTTTTTTTTTAATTATATAATAAGTAAACCACAAAAAAAAAAAAAAAAATATTAAAAAGTACTAAATTCTGCGTACCCACAGAGAGAAACGGTTGTATGTAGACAGCTAAACTCTATAATGTTGTATCTTGAATAATCTTATTATCCTTACTTTTATGCGTACAGTATTTAAGCACAAATCAGTCACCATCAAACAACTGGTGGTCGTGGTGATAGTAGTAGTAGATGTTGTTGTTACTGATGAAGTAAACATAACCACTTACTGTGTTGTTTATCTCTGAGCCAGTCCTGTGTGACTCCAACTGAAGCTGTCTGTATTTTCTGTAAATAAAGTTTTGTAGCAGATTAGAAAAAAAATTACGTATGAAAAAAAATCGCCAAAAAAAAAAAAAACTGCTATAAATAATACAAGAAAAGAATGATGTTGGTATTACTGGTGTTTGTTACAAGCAATTAATTTTTAAAAGGTGAACATAACCAAATTTAGTGCACTTCTTCCTCTTCTTATAGTCCATGCCGAGTGGCGTGGGTAATCATGTCTATCCACAATTTTCTGTCTCGAGGGAGTGCGAGGGAATGAAAGAGCGGATGTTCCAGCTACAAAGGCTAAAGCTACGGGAACAATCGTATTGGACAAGGGGGGTATTCTGAAGACCATAGATGAACGACTTTTGGCAGAAGACAGGAGATTATATCAAATAACATGAGCAAGAATGTGTGAACGAGGAAGTAAGTGTGGATCCAGCAAGGAGGGATGTATGAGAGGAAGAGATCGGCGTGTAGATAATCAGTGTGCTGCGGGAACAGTAAGCATCTACACCTTACGTCATTTGCTGGGGGAGACGGAGCATCTATGGATATGCCCGGTGTGCTATGATGTCGATTCTTAAATCAGTAAATCTGTCTCTTGAACTTTCATTCAGTTCTGACACAGATAATCTTCCATGCCATGATGTCAGCATTCTTTCTCAGTCTGTTTCTGCCTCTTTCCCCCTCCAACTTTCCCACATCACAACAGACTCTAGTTTTCTTCTCGTGAGATGAACAAAGATGTTGGCAATCGGTTCTTTTCATGAGTCAGTTTCTTTCAAGACTTCTTCGGTAATTTTTTTTATCTGCCCATGGTATTCTCATCATTCGTCTACAAAATAGCATCCTAGGCGCTTTCGAACATGTTTTTTTCTTTCACTAATTCTTCATTTCCGTTTATCATGATAAGATATATAGCTCTTGAGAAATCTCTTTCTCCTCTCACATGACAAAGAAAAATTGGGAACTACAAATCTGAAACAGTCAGGCAACTCACAATGCAAACACAGGACCCAGCGGTTGATGAACTTAAAGCACAAACTGGTTTAACTGAATGGTCTTATGAGTGGCTAAGTGGTGATCGCGTTTGCCAGCGAGTCAGTGAAAGGTTAGACACAACAGTCTCTTTCTCTGCCCTGTGTTGTTCGCACTATGGTCACAATACAAAGGAGCCTCCTGACAAGCTTGCAACCAATCTCTCTAAGAGAGATAGCCGCAACATTTCCCATCTGATCAAGCTGGCAAACATTGTCTAATAGAGACTGGGAAAGAGGCACAAGTGAGACTGATTTCTTGATTTTCAACTCGTGTAAACTCTTTTTTGAAATTAAAGAAAAGAGTTTTTACCTTTGTTTGTTTTATTTTTACCGTTTTTTTTTCCTTCTGAATGCGATCTTACATTCCTTTCATTAATATAGTCACTTTAATTCACCACCACCAATCAGCATACACTTTACAGAACGTTGCTCTGGTTACGGCACGTCTGCTAGTCTCTCTTCCATTTAAGGGGTCAACGTAACAGAAAAATGGAATCAAAAAAGTGAAAAATCTACACCAAATAAAGTGTACCAAATTAAGGTATGGTGGGTTCCTTGATTAATACTGGAAGAGTTACCATAATTCTAAATTAACTTTTCAAAAACCAAATCAAAAACATTTTTGGATATTTGTATGAGCAGGGTTTTTTTTTTTTTTTTTCTTGAAAAGAAAAACACAAGGCACCGGTGCTCAATACAAAGTGTTTCATAGTGAATAATGAAATGAGTGTTCATTTAAAAAATAAAAAACAGAACCTGGCTTGAGCACCTTTGCGTACCGCCAGAACATAAAAGAAATTCTAGGCACACCCTGAGTGGACAGAACGAAGGCCCCTGGGTCAATATCAATCACCAAAGGCAGCGGGTTTTCCTCCAGAGGACTTACTCACGTGGGTTTTGAGGATTTTCCCCAACACAAAGGTAGCAATGACTCATTCAATGATGATACTAGTTGAAGGTAGCCACGGGATACCATTATTACTCCACGTGTTAATTTCTATCAGGTAATGGTACGAGTTCCACATACAGGATTGGAAGAGCTTTCTATTTGTAATTAAAATATATCTGGGGTGGACGTGATCTCGTGAGATGGTTTAGAAGTATGTTTACACATTGTTTGGGTAAGGACAGGGATGAGAGTTAGACCTCAGTCCTCCAGATCATCATAGTGTTACCTCGAATTTGTGACGCACTAACACTTCACCGGCATACAGTAACGTCTTTGACAGTAATGTGTTTGACCAGCACCCTGTGATATACATTATTTATCCACACACGTGAAGTTCCAGCACAAGTACCGGAACCCGCATGGCTCAGGTCTCTGGAGCCCAACCTTTAAAACAAATGCGAGAGGGCTATATCCCCATCCACAAGAAGCGGATTAAGAGGCAATCCTTAACATATATAGATATCATCTTTTAAATTATTTATTTATACACTTCACAGTATTTGAACAAATTAGTATATATTTATTTATATTTTTATTTGAAATTCATCATAATAATGGCAAATTAATAATCTACTTCAAATGCAATAAAATATCTAAGAAATTTTTAATTTAAAATAAAATTTTATATTCATGGTTAGAGAAAGCATCTTAGCTCCTAAACACCATTATTGGGTGAGTGGGGGTGGTGTTTTCTTCGTGGCGGTGGGCCTCCAATACCAGTCTTGCCCCTCCCCTAGTTTCTAGGCCTATGACTCGCGCCGCAATTGTTAATGCCATTGAAAGATCTGAATATTTTAGGAGCAGCGTGTCCACATCACTGCCACAAATTCGAAAATTAGTAGTAAAGAACGGCACAACCAAACATGAGAGGCACACCGAACGCACAAGCAGTCTTACTTACTAGCACAGAACTGACATTATTAACAGCGGGAGCTGTTGTATATATTGAAGGGGAAGAGAGCACATATGGATTTGTCCGGAGTGCTTAAAGATAACCCAATCGTAACTCACTCATTATGGGCATTGAAACTTCCAAAAATATTTTCGTTATAAATGATACTTGGTCGCTGCGTCGGTAAACATTTCTGTACATGAAGCTCACCACTTGAGGTGCCAGCCCTAGCACATCAATACATCTTCCAGAAGATTCACAGTCAACCTGTCACGTTTTACTAATCAACGTTTTAATGTAGTGGATGCGTGAATTTCCCACCCGAACAAAGGCAATCTGTGACATTGTCACCGGCGAGGGGTGTTTTCTGTACAACACGTGCATAGGAAAATGGGAAATCCAGTTGATGACGTAGACGGGATTCCCACCTGGTGAGTTAAGACTGAATTAGTCAGGAGAATCAATCATTTGAGATGGGCTAGTGCTTTGTGATAAACGAAAAATAGGAGAGGGTGGGGAAAACAGGAGAGGGTGGGGAAAACAGCAATAAACGAGAGAAAGAGGGGGAGGAAAGGAGAGAGAGCACGAGGAGGGAAAGCTGGCGAAAGACTGAGTTTCTTTTAGGCAGACCGGGGTGAGAACGACGTTCTGCAAAGGTCGTGAATCTCCAACTCTCTATCTCTCTTCTTCCCCCCCCCCCTCTCTCTCTATCTCTCCCCTCTCTCTCTCTCTGTCTCTCTCTCTCTCTATCTCTCCCCTCTCTCTGTCTCTCTCTGTCTTTTTCTCTCTCTCTTCTCCTCCCCTCCCTCCTCTTCTCTCTCTCAATCAGTCTCGTATCCTGGTTCTTCTTCAGTGTCATGACATGTTATTCTGTCGCGTACATCATTGTCCGTGCCAGTAGCTCTTTAACTTCCACTGTGATCCGTATTTGAATGCTATATCACGTTAACGAGGTCCAAGTATTCGCTTGACTCTTTTTTGAGCTGCAATCTATCTGTAAATTCAAGAAACCTGGCATACCCTGTTCAGCTTCACAACAAGTTATAATCAGGGCACCAGTATGGTTTCAACAAGTACTACCTCGGTGTGCCTTAGTTGCAAGGCACGAACAATTATCATATTTCAGCGGTTTGGACGCAATTAAAGGTAACAATCACACTGGACAGGATATCGCGAATTATTTTCTTTTTCGTCATTTCCTGTTTACAGTGCGTTCGCAGCTAGCATAGCAATATTAGTAACTGGTAGCTCTCACATATTTCAGATTATGCATGAGTGACGTACGCATGCAGCCAGCATTATTTTCGCTATTTTAATATTCTTAAACACCCACCAGTTGCTGCTTGGACACCCAAATGTTTCCCTTCCAGCTAAATAGCAAATATTTAAAATAAATTTTCATCCTCACTTTATGCTACCAGTGCCAAGCACTGACAAAAAAAAAAAAACTACCTGTAAAATGTGCTGTCTCCGCTAACAACATAAGAAGGACCAGACTTTAGGAATACCAGCATGAGCGAAAAAGTTGGAATAAGACCGTAAATGAATTATATTGACAGACAAAGAATTAATTGTTTCGGCCATCTAGTGAGAATGCAGCGAGATAGCATATGAGATTTTTTGGCTATCTTCCGAATAACGGTCCCAGATGGTTAAAGTCGATAATATACCCTTACACGGCCTCAGTCACATGTCAATTGCGAACTTCCGGCGACTTCCGCAACCGCCGAGAGTATGCCAAAAGCCGCTCACGCGGCGTGGATTGGGGCTAAACTAGATGGCTAGGACTCACGAGCAAAGCTGCAGGAAATGCGGAATCTGCTGTTCGTGAGTCCCAGCCATCTAGTTTAGCCCCAATCCACGCCGCGTGGGGGACACTCTCGGCGGTGGCGGTAGTCGCCGGAAAACCGCAAATTAAGTCGCCGAAAGTGCGTAATTGACACGTGACTGAGGCTCTGTTAGGGTGTTTTTGACGGCCGACATCTTTTGTGCCCGTTATTCGGAGGATAGCCAACAGTAACAATAAATAGTAAAATAATTCATTTTTCTTTTTTTTGCAATGCAAAGTGTAAGCGACGATACATCCATTTCAAGCACGCCTGGTCACTGGGTGCCGTGCAGCCATATAAAGAAAGTAAAACTCACACGATTTGCCTAATGTCTGCCAAACAATTATACGAGCCATTTCTAATAAGAAATGATATAAGTCATAATCAGGTAAACAGTTGTACTTACTGCGAATTTAGTGCTGCCCAGTACTGCGCTGATGAAAGCTGGGCCCTTTGTCTGTGTGACATAGGAGCAGTTTGGGAACCATCGCGCATGCTCGACCCATGGGGTCATCGTTGGCGTCCCATTCGCACAAACCCCCGCTGCAGCAGAAACACCTGACGCGATCTTTGCGGCCTGGGTTGAGGAGAGCAAAGCATAATTATGGTGAGTGAGACAATATATGTGTATGTAAAAATACCTTTTCCCACACTATTGGGCATATGACGCTAGACCTATATTTTATAGACCAATCGGCACTCGGTGGGTGATTTGGTCAACATCAAGCCGACCCCCTTCACTTCCCTTGACTACCCGATACCCATTTTATGCTGAGTCGACTAAAATGTGATTTTTTTTAAGACAAAAAAAAATCCGGCTTAATAGGATTTGAATCTACAACCTTCAGGTCAATCGAGCCTGAGACAAGCGTTTACCCGCTACATCAGGGCGGCTTCAACATATCTGTATAGTTTATACGAATACCTAGACTTGAAAGTTCAGATCTGTTTTTGCTGAGGCCATCTGAGTCCTGATTGCAGAGACATCTACCGCGGGGAGTTTATTGTCAAGACATTCCTTCTGACTCTTGTTGATTTGGATCTCTAACACCATGAATATGATAAAAACTCTGACCATGTATTCTTCTCACGACATAAATCTACTTACTCGTCTCATAACATGGCAAACACTCTACCCACTCTACTCAAGCTGTTTCCTAATGTGTTAATAATCAGCTAGTCACTTTAAGTCACCATCCAGTCAATCAGTCCGCAAGTTTGTCAGTCAGTCAATCGCCCAGCCATTCATTAGGTCAGCCATCCAGCCAGTCAGTCAGACAGACAGGTTTATTCAGTTATCAGTTTCTAAGCATGTATCTGATACTTTAATGTTTTCTGAGTCAAAGAGTTGCTACATGACATCTGCTATATCAAACAGTTAAATGAGGCCAAACTGACATACCTGTGTAGAAAAATCCAGCTTTTGCTAACGATGTAGGTTTGGGGTTTTTGTGTGGATCCCAGTCCTGGAAAGACTCCAAGCGACTAGCTTCTGTTCTGTACTTGGCATGTTTTGGTACTGCAAGTTTTTCAGCAGATAAGTATTCCACTACATATCTACACTGAGGAAAGTGCTTGCGGTGCTCACCCACCGGTGAATCTTCACTTTTCCACAGGTGCAACATTCCATTGCAGAATACGCACTGTACCCTGTCTGCAGGGCCCACGTAAATAAAGCCAGCACGGGCAAATTCCCTGGCTCGAGCTACACTGATGCTCGTCCACCGAAAGTACGTTTGAAAGCGAGCTTCTTCTGACGCTCGCAGTTCTGTAGGATGGACGTCTGAGGTTGAAGTCTTTCTATGAGGAATAGTGTGTATGTCCTTTTTGAGAGATCGCTCGGCACCGTCAGATCTACTTCTTTGGATATGAGTCCTAGAACTTGTTTCCGTTTGGTTTGGGCTACAGTTTGTATTGTCTTCTCTTGGCTCTAGGGTATAGGAAGTAGATGTTTGGCTTGCAGTTTGAGAATCGTTTTCATACTGGTTTGAGGAATATGTTCGATTGACAGTTGAGCTTCTACTCCAAGGTCCTCTGAAGCACAGACTATTGACAGACATTTGGCCAACAGTTTCATTTCTGGATAACTCTAAAATAGGAACAAGGTGCTAAAGGGACCGTCACTGGGGCATTACTAGATGAACTTTGGTTTGGCTCGCAGAGTGAAGGAACATAATCCTGTCTGTTGTTACTACCAGAATCAGACACAGCTGCACACCCAGGGCTGTTGGAAGAATGCATTACAAACGGGTCAGAGTTCTGCTGCCAGTCTTCGATTTCGACCCCGCACGAGAAGCAGCGGACAATGTCTGAATGTCCAGTGTAGTAAAACCCTGCTTTGACCAGGTCTATAATGTTGGGTTTTCCGTTGCTCTTCCATCCGATGTACGTTCCAATTCTTATAAACTCGTTGGACATAAGCCTGGCTTCCACTGTCATTGTACAGTCCTGAAAATTATAAAAATGCATAGTATTTATATTGTGGTATCAAAGTGGCAAACGACTTGCCTGTCCGCCCAACAATCTCCAGTTAGAATCAATCAAGTGGGCTTTCCCCTCAGGGCTGCTACCTTATTGTTTATCATACCATCTTGATATTAGAGAATCTCGATCTAAGTGGCAGACCAACAAGAGAGATCCCTGATACCCTGTTCAACCTCCAAAGAAGTTATAATCAAAGCAACCTAAACAGTTACATCAGCCGGGTGTAACTAGCAATCCTATGCGGGTAAGGACTGAGTTCGAATCCGCATCGGGGATGATTTATATACCTGATCTAGGGTTCCCCAAGTCGACTCAGTCTGGAAGAGTTACCAGACATATCAGAGAAAATAATGACGGGCGGTGTGATGTATCAACGAACATTACATCTCCCCCCGGCACTTCGATGAGGTACAAGGTGGAAGAGACGAAGAAGAAGGTGTGATGTTGACACCCCCCCCCCCCCCCCCCCCCCCTCTCTTCTACCCCAGTGTCAACTGGTCTATACAAATATGGGTTTAACACTGCATGCCTGATGTGCCAATGGCATAAAAAGAGTCCATTACTTCTTCTTCTTCTTCGCGTTCGCCAGCTGTAATCTCTGGCGGAAAGTTCTGGTTGTTCGTCCACTTCTGGACTGCAGTCCTGTTCCAGAACTTGAGTGTTGCGTGTGCATCCGTTTGACATATTTGACTAATTTCTATGCAGACTATTGGTTCCTTGCCTTTCAGGCAGATGCACTCCGACTGTGAAGATAGTTCCCAATTAGTCGACTCTTACGACATGCTTTTGGGTAGGCAGTAGGTCTATTCTGGTTTTCCCTATAATAGGGCCCCGGAACCCACACAGGGAACACTATTACTAATTGTGCATGCTTTATGTGGATACGTCATATTCTTTAACGTGTAACTGAGACGCGTATGTGGGAAGGAAAGGGTTGTATAGTCCGTACCACAAGTGGTGGCCAACTTTAAAAATCTCGAACTCAGTAATCGTTGGGTACGTTTTTGAAATTTGTTTATCAAGCTTAAGAGCAAGTAGTTGGAGTTAACAGGTTGCATGCCTGTTAACTCTAACTACTTGTTCTTAAGCTTGTTCTGTTTTAACTATTATTGACTGAAATTAATAAGTGCTCAGTCTAAATTAACTACAATAATAATCATTTGATATTTAAACATGAATGTTAAAGCAACTATTGGGATCGAGTGGATTTATATAAATCCAAGGAAAGCTTAACATGTATGGAAATAATTACTTGGTATTAAAAAAGATAATAATCGTGTGCTTGTAAGCAGTTTTTTTTAAAATGCAAACATCTAATTTTCATTTTACCTTATCTGCGGTGTATGAAAAAACAGATACCGATTCAAAACAAACAGTCGACATGCTTACAGTTAATTGCGTAACGGGTACTTTTCAAAAGATTAAATCAAGGGAACAGTTATACTGCATCCTAACTAGCACGTTTTATCTGCATCGGCCTATTAGGCGAGGAACCGATAGCGTGCATATAAATAACCAGATCTGTAAAATAAATGTGCAGGCATAATTCGGATTCTGGAACAAGACAAAGCCCACAAGTGGACGAACAACCAAAACTCATTGTGGCCCGTAAACGCTAAGAAACGGAAGAAGAAGAAGAAGAAGAAGAAGAAGAAGAAGAAGAAGAAGAAGAAGAAGAAGAAGAAGAAGAAGAAGAAGAAGAAGAAGAAGAAAGAAGAAGAAGAAGAAGAAGAAGAAGAAGAAGAAGAAGAAGAAGAAGAAGAAGAAGAAAGAAGAAGAAGAAGAAGAAAAGAAGAAGAAGGAGGAGAAGAGGAAGAAGAAGAAAAAGAAAAAGAAGAAGAAGAAGTAGAAAAAAAAAAGAACAACAACAACAACAACAACACCAAAACAACAATGAGCCAGATTTCAACTGCCTGTCTGATGGTACAAGTGCACCATATAACTAAGTAACACCTTTACCTACCGATAATGTCCGAATATGAAATTATACGAAGCCAAAAGAAAAAACAGAAACAACCTCACAGGTTCGCCCACTTCTCTGGTGTCCGATCAGTTTCTGTTACAAGAACAACAACGACCGGTGTTTATTTATATCAACAACGCGGAGTTTGGCAACCAAACGAGGCGGCAGATCCCGAAAGACGCGCGCAGGAAAGTTGATACTAAATATATCCGTGAATCATCGGCAACACCTGTGAACCCCGACCTAGTAACAATATACGCAGGTAACAATACGCCACTAGGAGGATTGAGTAAGCATCGACGCAGTTTTGGTTTGCGTATTTTTGTATTGGATACGTTCTTTGTCATCTCCTAGATACAGAATGCTGACGGATTTCCCAGGTCTTTGATGTCTGTAGATTTATTTCTGGTTTTATGTCACCTTATGAAGCTCGTAATGAAATAACAAGTACGCTCTAGCAACTAATACTGCTTTTATTAAGAGATTTTTGAAGAAGAAGAAAAAAGAAGCTTATGACGAGGAAGAGGATGATAGTTATTACTATTTTACAGTTAGACAGAACGAAGATGAAATAAAATGGATAAAAACATGTAAGGAGCTCGGCATAGACAAATAAAGCAGCTTAAGTCAACAAACGGTGAACAAGGACGGTCACCGTATAGTAAGAAACACAGTTTGTTGAGATTCTGCACAAGAATAACATACAAATTCACCCACTGTACCTCATAAAGTCGCCTACAGATTATACACTATATACCTCCCAGGCGCACGCCCACAGGTTAACACTGGGGTGGGGGAAAGGGGAGTGGTCAATCCCACCACCCCACCTTACACACTTTTTCGGTACTGATAGGGAAAGGGGCCCTGCGTTCCGTCACCTATGTGACAATTTTCTCAACCCCGTCCCCCTCCCCTCCACATCAGAGAGTTTTTCTAACATCAACTGCGTCTTGGTGTACCTAGCCAGGAAACAAATTATGTCTTCATTGTCATACACCTGATACAAAGTACTGGCTTACTAATATTCTAAGTTATGACATATGCAAACACGACATTACCATTAAGATTAGGGAGGAAATTCCCGCATTTCTATGGCGTGTCTACTCTATATTCTTAGTAATTTATTGCCTTGGTTATTCTTTTTACGTCGCCCGTGGACTTTATAGAAGAAGGAACACAATTTACGCAACTGTCTGAGCCGCGTAACGCCTTCTGATGTAGGTCACCTTGCGGCTCGCGTGAGGCTCGGGTCACGTGATTTGGGGTCCGCTGCGTGTCAGAGTGAGGTGCCAGTGGTTTGAGGTCACGTGGCTCGGTGTTGGTGGGGCTAGTGTTTGTGAGTAGTGGGGCAGGCGGGGCAGAGGATCTGATCGTTTCAGAAGCGGCGGTTTGTAGTTGCGGTCGGTATGGGAGCCCCTGCCCCTGGTCTCTGTGTAGTAAGATAGGACGCCCGTCTGTATTGTTGCGCAAGTAAAATCCGTTGGAAGTTAGAAATCAAAAAGAGTAGGCTAACGGCGTTGCCTGGACAAAATTTGGAGCTAGAAATCTACCCAAAGTATTTCAGGATCGTCGCCGTTGCTGCGAAGTTCGTGAACTGCGCTAAGATTCTTCAGACTCAGGCTTGAGTTAGAAGTAGAATGGAGCACTTAAAGGTTACTGCCCTGGGGCCATGATGTTGATCCGTTGTTCAAACCACGGCCATCTTTAGCTATAAATAGGCCAACTGGGTCAACGGGGATTCCCGTTCTTGTGCAAGAATTGAGTCCCTCTGTGTTAACAGTTTTTATTGAGGAGATGTATACACAAATCAAACTACAGTTTCATTAATTTTCTACATATTTTATAGAACTATACGTCATTTTTAAGGTAAATAAGTGTGCCGAATAAATATAACAATAAAGGCTCTTACAGACAAACAAAAATGCTTTTGCTACAGTCAACATGAACATAAACATCAATAACGTTTAGATGAAAACTAAAAGTTGTTCCAGCAAAAGTAAAGAAATATCAGTGCTAACTCTTTGATTCTGATAGGGTATTCTTGCATCAGAGGAGCGGGGGGGGGGGGGGGGGGGGTGACATTTGTACTTTATCAAATTTAGCGCATACAAATACTGCTATGAAAGATACACACATATCATACATAATATAAATAATTGATGGTTATTATTATTAGTAGTAGACTACTACAACATATAATTATACTGTTATTTAATAATTAGTAAACAAGCACAATCAGTATGAAATTGATATGTGCAATACTTTTTCCACCCAGAGTTGTTTTCTTAACAGTACTTATAGCACTACTAAATATGTATCCTCAAGGTACAAACAGCACAAACAAATTTGTCCAGTTTCATCTTGTTGGATAAAATCAATTCCTTACCATTGCGAATTTTTTGGTAAATATGCATAGGAAGTGGATGAACAACCAGAAGTTTCCGCAAGAGTTTACAGCCAGTGTTCGCGAAGCAAAGCAAAAGCCAGTTTACAAAAATTAACAGATGCAAAAGAAGTCGATGAACTACCAGAAGTTTCTGCAAGAGTTTACAGCCAGTGTTCGCGAAGCAAAGCAAAAGCCAGTTTACAAAAATTAACAGATGCAAAAGAAGTCGATGAACTACCAGAAGTTTCTGCAAGAGTTTACAGCCAGTGTTCGCGAAGCAAAGCAAAAGCCAGTTTACAAAAATTAACAGATGCAAAAGAAGTCGATGAACTACCAGAAGTTTCTGCAAGAGTTTACAGCCATTGTTCGCGAAGCAAAGCAAAAGCCAGTTTACAAAAATTAACAGACCATAGAACTGCAAATATGCAAAAGAAGTCGATGAACTACCAGAAGTTTCTGCAAGAGTTTACAGCCAGTGTTCGCGAAGCAAAGCAAAAGCCAGTTTACAAAAATTAACAGACCGTAGAACTGCAAACATGCAAAAGAAGTCGATGAACTTCCAGAAGTTTCCGCAAGAGTTTACATACAGCCAGTGTTCGCGAAGCA